ATCCCAGAGGAAGTAACTGAAAATACAGAACCTTCCCTGGGAGGTCTCCTCACCATGTACAGGAATCCACGTCGAGGGGGTAAAAGTGGGAGTTTCTAGCTATGACTGTGTGTGAATACACATACTAACTAACAGCTTTTATCACAGTGCCATTCAACATGTATTTTATGTCAGAGTCATCAACAATTCATTTTAGCCTACACTGTTGATACAGCAACAGAAACAATATACAGAGATACTGAAGAAAACTGTAGATATGCATTTCAGAGGTTCTAGAGGTTATGTAAATACAATATGTGAACTGTATAATGGACAGAAGTATTTTTATTCTTCCCATGAACATTATCTTGCATTCCAACTTGTAAGAGTCTACAGACTGCCATCATCAATCCACAGCCATATCTTGCAAAAAAACTTTTGTAACACATCTGAATTTTGGTAAACATTACAGAATTGTACATATTACTAAAAGCTTGCCTCATTTCATGTACTTATATGTTGTAAATTTGGAATTATTTTCAACATTCATTTAAGGAACAACATAAACACATTTCTAAATCAAAGATAAACAAACTAATAATTAGATGAAAGAATGGCAAAAATGCTAAACAAAACCTATAAAGTGTTATTTTTAAATGGATTTTTATTATTCTTTGTAAAAGATAATTCGTCCTTGTAACTTGAATAAAAGTCTAGTCTTATTGATGTTTAGGTTTGATGAAAATAGTGTTAATTCGTCCTTGTAACTTGAATAAAAGTCTATTCTTATTGACGTTTAGCCAATCACTGTTTTTCAACCTTGGTTACTGGCTAATGAACTAAACACATTACAAAAGCTCTTTTTCCATTCTTTTCAACTGTAAAAGCTAAAAAGGCTTTCATTTTAGTGAGGGTTCAAATAGAAATCAGAACAAAGTGATAAAAACTTAGTTTGGCAATATGTCTAGAAAAAGTGCTTGTGAATCACTTCTATAATTACAGTCCTGATATTTTTCTAAAGCTTGAGATACACATGCTTTATCATTTCATAGTTAAATTATGATGTTGAAAGGAAACGTTTTTTGTGGAACAAGATGAAGTAGGTTTAGTTAAGTCATTTTGTCCTTGATCATATCAAGTTTAGTTTTGTTGACAAACTGCATGCATTGTTTTTGAATCAAAACAAATACAAAACTTACAGTATTATAAAATAAAAACTTTATACGAAAGTTATAAAAGACTTTAGGAAGACATAAAAGTTAGTAGGTAAAATGTACAACAAAGCTAAGAACTTTTAACTGTTTCTTAAAAAACCACATCACAATAAAATCCTTTCAAGTTTTCAAAGTTGCAGAATCATACGAATAAAACACAAATATTTTATGTGCAGAAGCTACATAATCAGGAGAAACTAACTATAAAGTTTCTAACTATTTAATAGTTATTTGTTTTTCTATACAACAAAACAAACCATACAACAGGTGCAGCAAATTGAAACAATCAGGTCTCATAGAATTAATACATACCATATACAATGTGTTATAATTTAATCTCTTCCAATTTGTAAAAGCTCTGAGCTTGTGTCCTGATAAAACAATTAGCTGCTGCAACTAATACAGAGATAAGGTGATAACCAGATAAATCAATTCCATTCTGTTGCAGGTCATTAAATACAAAAGACAACTCCCAGACAATTATTACTTTTCGAAAGAGGAAATTAAAACATTTATAACACTGTGAAGTTACTAGTTATATGTTTTATAAAGAAAAAAGTACCTTGTTTTCAAACTTAAGTGACTGCATGTGGTTCATGTAACGATTACAGTAGAAGAGATACCTCTGCAGTGCTGCTCTTGACTTTTCCTGGGCATCTCTTGCGGCTTTGGCCTCCTTTTCATCATATCGGTTACAGTTGTACCTGAAGGACATGATGATCATAAAAACTACAAGTATATAAAAGAACTTCAATACTTGACCTTTATTAACAGCTGTTCCTTCTTAAAACTTACACCCATTTTAAAAGATTACACACTAAACTCCAGCTTTCAAAGTATGTCATAATTTGGAGCCTACTAGCTTTTATTATTATTATAGATAAACTAATATTGTAGCGTTGACTGTAGTATTCACAGTAATCTGTTTCTGTGAGTTTTTCTTGTGTGACCATTTACAGATGGGTAATTAGGATATGAATAACTAGTTAACAGCATCAATATAATCTAACTTGTTCAATTATTAAGTCTACAAATGTACTTTTTAATAGAGAGTTAAAAAAGCCTTCTGCTTAACAGGCTATCAATTGATTCCAAAGTAATACCCAACAATCATACACCATTCCATTAATAGCAGTAACTATTTAAGTGTATTTATTTATGGCATAATTGTAATAAATAATTTAAAAAAAAATTTTAATGTTAGATTTGAAGGATGTGCATACAAGTATGTCAAACGTGAAAAAATAACGTTGTTCAACATGTATGAAACAGTGCTAAATGTATAGGATTTACATAACCTTGAATAATTAAAACTTGCTTAAAAACTAAAATGGACAGTTAAAGTATGTCATGAATCACCATTTAAAATCCCTGGCAAGTATCTATGTCACATCACATTACATAATTACAGTCACATTTACATAAATTAGGATAATTTCCCAAAACATTTTTAGTTAATGTGGTAACAGATAATAATCAGTAAAAACACCAGTAAAGTTAACATTTTTGTACACTGAAAATGTATTTCTTACCTCCTCTCACATAACAGTTTTTTCTACACTTGTACTGCCCTCTATATGCACAAGTTTTTGCTCACCACTAGCCTCGAAACTCCCACCTACCCTCACATGTTATCAGGTGAGGCAGCTACATTATAGCATGCAAATGAGTATACGACATTCCTCCACCAACAGTAGTGCTATGCAATTCCTTAAACAACTGACTCCCTCTATGCACCTTAGAGATTGAGCAACAACACAAGAAAAAGACACCAGAAATGGGGAGGAAGGGTGGGAAGTGTGAGAAGAGGTAAGAATCTATGGGAAACACATTTTCCATGTAGAAAAACGTTAACTTCCGATATGATATCTTACCTCCCACATTGTCCTGGTGGAGAGACTGATGTAATATGACCTAGATGAGCCCCCCCTTCAGAAAGCATCCAAAGGAAGACCATGGAGTATATGAGTAAAGATTATGTAAAACACACCCATGGGAGACCTCACCACTTCTCAGCCAGGTAACTCTTCACCCTTAAAACTGATACATTGCAATAAAGGCAGAATCATAGGAGGAACCCCTTAACTAAAATGAAGTGACCCCTGGCGTACAGTGATTAGGGCACAGTGGATCATAATGGGGAATTCTATCTCAACCAACACCAATTGTTCCGTGACATGAGTACCTGGCCCATGGTAGGAAGAGGGTCCTTTACCATTGACTTCAGACATGAGAACTGTAAAAGAAGATCTTCCATTATAAAGACCCACATCATCATGTCCAACACAACCAACACCAGTACCTCCGTGGAACCGACATCTGGACGACAGTAGGAAGTTGGACAGCAGTGTGGCAGTTCAACTTCATTCCAGAAGCAGGTGGCATCGAAAATGAATCATCTAGTAAGCAGTAGGAGGACGGTACCTGGGCCACTCACATTCGAGGACTTATGTGACTGATCTAGCTCCAACCAACACCAGTACCCCCTAAGAACCCGACATCTGGGCAATGGTAGGAAGTATGGTGCCTAGCTGGCATACAATATGAGTTTAAGAATAAGTACACCTGGTGAAGCAACACTCACCACTGAAATTGATTTGTATATGCAAGAAAGGCCCCAGTAAAAAATAATAGTATAAAAAGAGCACCTATAGTCTCTCATATAGAAACCATGGAGCACAAGATAGCAATAGGAGGTAGGCAGTATCCTGTAGAGTAGGAAACAGCCAGATTATGATGATAATGTAAAATAAGTGTATGGGGAGTGGTCCACATGCTAGAACGAACTATATCTTATAAAGGACGATGAAATTGGGCAGCCAGGGAACCACAGACCATGTAACAGTGGAAAGCCTGGACAGAACATAAGAGGAGATATGAATAGGAAAGAGGATAAATGTAAGAAATGGAAATTGGAGTGAAGGCAAATTCGGCAACACATGTGGCTGGAGTTTTGGGCAGGAAAGACCGACCTGGGTAGAGGATGACATAGGATCGATGAGAAGGAAAAAGGACTTTAAGAAGAGATGATATAAGGAATTGGAAGACATGGGCTTGAAGGGAGGAAGAGTGAGGGCATGGAGGATGACATTGAGGTTCCAATCAGTGAGGGTGGTAGGATGTGGAGGATGGCAAAGGCAGAAGGAACAAAACAAAAGGGTGAGGACCAGTGAAGTGAAGACACAGCAAAATCTTGTGAAATGGTAAGTGGCTGACAATGCCACATGATAACCAGCAAAAGTGGATACTGATAGCTTATTGTTGGAAAGCCAGGTTCAGAAGAGTAGGACGGGATGGAAGGAAACCATGGCGAGAAGATCAATGACAGTGGACATACCACTTATGTTGGTACAATGACATGGAGGAGTGGTGCAGTGAATGTGAAATTAGGGAAGCAACCCACTGTCTAGTCAGACCTGTCTAGCAAGGGATAAGACAAAGTTAAGCAGGAAGGGAAGAATGTGGTAAACTCAAAGGAGGTTGCATGAGGAAGGTGGGTTAGAGGGGAAGAGGAGGTGTCAGTAGGAGTGGGTACAAAAGTAGAAACCATTGTTTTTAATTTCATGCAAAGCTACACATGGGCTACCTTCGCTAGCCGTCCATAATTTAGCAGTGTAAGACTAGAGGGAAAGCAGCTAGTCATCACCACCCACCGCCAACACTTAGGCTACTCTTTTACCAACAAATAGTGAGGTTGACCATCACATTATAATGCCCCCCATGGCTGAAATGGCGAGCATGTTTGGTGGGATGTGGATTTTGGACCCATGACCTTCAGATTGCGAGTTAAGCGTCTTAACCACCTGGCAATGCCAGGCCAGTTCAAGAAAGAAAAATCAATGATGGGGCACCAGTTCCCAGTCTTCTTGAGGACAATGAACAAACGGGAATAAAAACATGGCTGAGAAGGACCCCTTAATCCACAGCACCCTTGTGAAGAAGGTAGAAAACCACCTCAGAGAAACGCTGGCTAGAAATGGGATCCTGAGGAGGAGGGAAGGAAACGAGTTGATGGGTAGAAAACAAAGAATGAACCCTTTGGAGAGAACCCACAGAATCCAAGGGTGAAAGATTCCCACACAGTGGGAAAATGCAAAAGCCTGGTCCCCCACTGAATCTGTACCTAGACCACATAGTTACTGGGGACATATAAGTCATCAACTAGAAAATTATGGTTAACCTCAGAAACCCCTGAAACAGGAACCAGTAAAGGAGAGGAATAATGGGAAGGAGACACAGGAACAGTCTAAGATGAAGCTGAGATAAATTGGGAGCCAATAAGGAAAGGCAGATATGCAAATGGGCAGACTCAACTCTGGATTTTAATGAGTCAGGAAGGCATCTTGACCTAAAAAAAAGAGAGCCCTACATAAGTCCCTTATGGGGTTGGGGGTAAACGAAGAACACAGGACCAAAGAGCATACAGATCTAAAATATCCCAACAACAGGGGAGCCATGTTAGGAGTGAAAGAGGATAATTGTGCCAGAATGGAAAAAAGGGCACGAGTCTCCACTGAAAATCCCACAGGGGAACAATTAAAAGCCTTAGACAAAAGGTGAATAGAGGAAAGGGAATGAAGGAGAAAGAGGATAAGGTTGGAAAAATGTGGCTGGAAGTATTGGGATCTGAACCCATCAGAGAGAGAAGAGGATCCAACTGCTGTGAGCCCCAAAAAAGGAAACTCAGGCCTATAGTACATGGAAGTCGAGGCATACTGACCCCAGAACATAACTGGTCTGAAAATCGGGCCAAAAATGTCTCACTTAAAAAGGAAAGAGAGGAATCAAAGGAAACAGGAGAGAAGGACAAAATGTAAGAAACCTGGTTAATCAATTCCAGGAGAGGAAGAGAAGACTTGGGTGCATCCATTGGAACTACACGTGACTGTCTGGCATAGGATGGGGGAGGAAACAGGCTAATAATGGCTGGAGACGGCTTGAACAAGGCATGATAGGATAATTTTCAGCCGAATCTGAAGCCTGCATGAAAGTAGCCAACTCCTGAGAAACCAACTGTAGAACTGAAGCCATTGTAGCTGAAGTAAAGGTAACTGCTATATAACCAGCAGTAGTTGGAGTAGTAGGAACATTAAACTGATTTCATGATAACTATGAGTGCACATAGAGCTAAAAAAAATAATAACAAAATATTAACACGTACAAATTAAAAGTTAGAGAACTTAAATGTAATAAACTGAAAAAAACTAAGTTTTCCAAAAAAGAAACAACTGATCAAAATTCCACCAGTAAAACTCAAACGAAACACACGTCTAAACACCACAAGTGCCAATCAAAAAAGTGAAGAAGAGTTAATCTGCATACAGAGAATCAGTTGTACTACGATTTGTGTTGCACTCTTATTGATGGAGGGTTGTTGCATGCTCATTTGCATGCTATCATGCAGCTTCCTTGTGTGTTTTCATGTGAGGGTAGGTAGGATTTTCAAGGCTAGTGGCAAGTCAAAATTTGTGCATATAGAGGGCAGTACAAATCAAGAGAAAGCTGTTATATATGAGTAGAGGTAAGATATGATATTGGAAAATCTTGCATATTTATGCAACATGATAATTACACAAGTGCTAAAAACTTATACTTTAAAGTTAAGCAGATGTACAATGTACATCTTTCTAGTAAGAGTAATAACACAGACCACAGTGAAATATTAGTGTCTGTTAAAATAATTGTGCATTTAATAAGTAGACATTTTTCACTGCTTCTTCTCACCATGATGATCCATGCGGCTCCCAGGGTCCAAGACAGACCCAACAAAAGTCTGCCTTACAGTTTTGATTCTTACAAATCATGTGATTACAACCTCCATCTTTTTCTATAGTGACATTACACTTGGGACATTCCTAAAATTTAAGATATAATATGATCTATATATCATAAAAGAACAAAAGAGAGAGAAAGATTTATTTTCATACTTAAATAAAAGTTGACAAAAAGCTGTACACAACAATAATTCTTCTGAATCATGTATGCATTTCACTGTCCATTTTTTTAAAATAACTGTTCAGAATATTATTAACCTTCAACAAGAATGAGTAAAAGTGATCCCACTGTGACATTGTGTTGTGATACCAAAGATGCACACTTCAAACAGCTGTAAGCACATGTCTAAGGGCATTAATGGTGGTGCACAATATTTTGCATGATTCTGTATATAATTTACAAAAATTTGAATGAGCAGAGAAACAACTAAGACATAATATGGTTCATTTTAACTCTCAGAAAATAATTAAATATATACATTTCGTTTTCTTGTTGTCAAGCACAAAGCTACCTGATGGGCTACATGTATGTAACTATTATTTTCTACCATTTTGCTACAATGTTATTGTATTTTACATATAAAGCCCAGCAAACCTAAACAATACTTGTGGGTAAACTACTACAGATACTTTCTCAGTCATTTCCAAAGAAAATACTTTGCAAACTCTCATTATTTCAGACAATAATAATAAAAATAATAAAATGAAAATATACATATGCTATTTTGGAGCAGGTCTGGAGAACTATGATACTGAAAATCAGAACTGTCTCAGTATAACAAATTTCTTTTTATTAATTTTACAAAGTGTAAAATACTTTTCTAACAAAAGAAGAAGGGAAAAGATATTGTAACCAGGTCCCAGACACAAGTACACAAAACAATGGTTATTCCTAAGTAAAAATGCATGTGTAACAATTAACCCTACCAACAGGGTTCACATGTCAAATGCCACGTCATTGCATTTGTTCACTCGCATTCAAAATTTTATTGAACTACTATTTTATGAATGTCAATAAGTTTGTTATCCAATTGTAGATTATAATTCAAATTTTAGTATTATACATTAATTAATTTCTTAATTTGAAATTAAATACAAAACAAATCCTAAATATTGATTTTTATGAGTTACATGGTATGTTGAATGCAGCATTGATTCAAATTAGATGTTTATGATGCCCAAATACAAAGTCTATAGTCTTACGAATTAGATACTCAAATTACCAATATTGACAAGTTATAATGTAAAATAAGAACCTCCAATCTTTTCTATTTTCTGAGCTATTAATATATTTATTGAATCAACCAAGGTGGCCCTGCTCACCTCTTCAATTTTTTAAAATACCTGCTTACATACACCTACTTTGCCCAATGATGCATGTATAACTAATCAAAAGCACAGAACATCCTCCTAGTGGTTTTCTCAGCCTCTGCAAAGTATTTTCTCAACAAACTCTTTTTTTTTTCCTGCTAGATTCCAAGCGGTAAGGTAAGACATTAGTGAGCTCGAAATTTCATATTTTTTTAGACCCAAATACAGCTTAGTTACTAACCTTGATAAATTATAGTGGAATTCTATGGTATTAATATAGTAATTTATTATTTTTGTTTATTTCAAAATGACTACGTAAAACCTAGAAAAAATTATTTCGTTTCACTTCTTCCACATGCAAAATTTGATAACATTTAGCAACCTATGACAAACAGCAAATGCGTACAAAGTTCATAACAAGAAGAGATAATTGTTTGCCATACTTTATTTACTGTTCTATGTTTTAAGAAAAAATAAGTCAAAGTTTGTAAATTGTAATAATGTATTATTATTGAAATGTGACTGTATTTTACAAAATACTAGTCCACAAAAACATAGCCAAGACAGGTCACTTTGTAAAGGCCAGTTTTATATTCTTGGATATGGTAACATAAGTGCATGTGAGCTGTGTCATTGCAATTTCTGTAATGTTAGCCAGGTATGGCTGAAAGGTCAATATAATAAACATAATAAATATATATAGATGTATAATGTTATGAGATTTAAGCTATTTAAACTAAACATTTGTGTTTTCGTGTTATAATCTGTAGTCATTCTAGAATGAAAAAAGCACAATTTATATTTATTTCCTAATTTTTTTATGGCAGTTACAAGGTTGGTCAAATTGACCCAACCCATACACAGTTACAGTAGTGAAAATAGAATATAAAATATAACGTTTTTTCTAAAAAATCATTAGATAATTATCTGGAGGTTATAAAGATTTCACATGTAAATTTGAAAATTTTCTGATGCATAAAAGTATCTTTAATCTTAAAATTTTCATTACTCTGCACATTGGATAGTCATCATTTGAAATGAAAAAAGGCACAAAATAGTTAAAAGGTCAGTCCGTGGGATTGAGCCAGTGCTGAAAGAGTTAAGCCAAAAAAAAAAACTATAGAAATTTACTTGTTAACTAGGAAAATAATAAGATAAATAGTACTTTTTTTTTGCACTATTTAGTGAATACCGTTAAAAAAAAAACTCAATAAAAACAGTTGAATATACCTTGGTATTGGCAGCTATCCAGTTGGAAGTTTCACTGTCATCATCACATTTCTTCTGCCATTTTTTCAACAAATGACACCTAACTGGATCATGCCAGTTTTCTCCGCAATGGAAACTACCAGTAATAAAATTGTTTTATTACACCTTATGTTTATGAAATTACTTACCTTACAGTGAAATGTTGTGTATATGATCACAGTTCAGTAAAGAACAAATTTGGTTCTGTACAAACATCCTTTACAGTATAATCAGAGTTAAAATTTTAAAGAAAACATCCAATATCCTAATATTAGGCTTTTTCCCTAATTTAATTTTTTCATGTAAAAAAAAAAGATTTAATTAACTGAATTAGATGAACATATACTTGAAACATTAGCTTTTGTATTTAGATGTCTATGCTATTGTTACCAAACTGATACAAGCCTAAAATAATTAAATAAAAATAATTGTGAAACTGTATACAAGTGTTAAACAAACTTGTCTTATAAAATAATGAATATGTAACTTTCAAATGAAACATTAAAAACCACTACTTACAGATAACTGCTAGAATACTTTGTATTATACATCATACGTCTTGTTGACTCTCAAAAACCTGACATAAGTATATATTCTACTACAACTTTCTGCGTTGCAGCTCAAATGGATTGACAAGTCATATTAATGAGTAAAAGGTTTTGTAGGCAGTGACACACACAGAGTAAATTAGCAGTTGAATAAATACAAATACAACAAGCTTACTTATATACAGATACTGTTAAGAGCAAGATATTTTAATTATTCTTCATTAAAACTTTAATGTTTTGCCAAGTTTGTTATCCCAGAAAAGGTGGAAGGGACTATGTTTCACTAGCTATGGCACTTTACATAAAAAATCCATATTTCTTTATATAAAAAATATCATTAGTAATAACTTTACTGTAATAACGAGCTTACACCACTCAATAACAGACAATAAAATTTTCTCACAAAGCCCATATTGTGCATTACAAGCCAATTTCTACTTGATTGAAATAAATGTACCAGAAAGTATTCCCACAGGTGCAAGTCACAGGTTGAACGTCAACAAACTGAACTTTCACAACATGGTTGCAATCTGGGGCTGGACACCATCTCAAAAGCCTGTTACACTAAAAAATTAGAATAATAAATGAAACTGACAAATTTACTGTTTAGTTGAATTGGAGCAATAAATGCATATTTCATAAAAAGAAAAATGATTATTGTGGTTTTATTATAAGAATGTGCAAATAAAATATTATCAATTGTTGTCACTAATTTTTTTAGCAGGAAATGCATGTTTAACACCAGAAGTTACATGTTATTACAATATTTTAAGAAATATGCTGCAAATTTAAGTATTTTTCAACATTACAATAAAAAATGTTTAGTTCCAAAAGAAAATATATTTCATTTCATCAAACCATGATAAAAATGTAGTACATAAACATATGATTAAACAGATTTCAAAAGCCCAGAAGCTCAAATGATTTTGAATAGCTAACTATTTGTCTTCAGGATTAACCATTTCTTTATTTTTGGTCCTGAGAAAAATAGTTAACTATCTGAAAGCACTTGAGTTTCTGGGTCTTTTGAAATCCTCATGAATGTTTTTGGTTATCCATTCATCGTAACATGATGGTTACACAATTTTGAGTAGTTGTTTTTTTTATTAGTTATATGTTATTTTCTCCGACTATACATGCATCGCAATATTTTTCTGAAAGTTATTTGAATGTGGTTTGTTACATCGTATATAGCAGTGTAAATTTAAATCTTTCTGTTTTTCATCAGAAAGTAAATGGATTGCTATGTAGTTTGTAACACAAAGAATCTTAAGTGAGAAGGTCATGAACTCTAGTGTCTTCATACAGGTAGGCATTAATAATAAAAACGTTTTTAAGTTAGTTTGTAAACTATTCAGATATTTTATAGCTCCCTTTTAAATATGCTGAAATTTTCTTACCTGCACAAAACTGTTTGTTATTAGATGCTGGTATTTTAATTTCACTTTTGGATCAGTAATTAGGGTCCTGTAGGATTAGAAAAAGAAAACCCCAGTTAAGTCTATAGACATAAGGTAATTGGTTACAAATAAAAATCAAAAATATAAAAGAATTAAGTCTTTATAAGCAGAATATATATATATATAAATATATATAGAAAAGTGGTTTACAAATCTTACAACCTAGGCAAAACTTTTCTTCCACACTAGTAAAATATTCATTACCTGATGTTAATCAACTCAATTTTTTTTTCTTCAAATTACCTATATATTAAATTTAATAAGAATGAGTTTTGAATTTAAACAAAACTCATTTGAAAATATGCAATTCAACAAAATGTATTAATCTAGTACATTTTCGTAATTAAATTTATAGACTGTGTCTCAATCTGAACAGTTTGACTGATTTAGAAAGTGTATTTTGAAATATGTTACTGGTATAAAACAGTAAGTACAAGAACCATTACAGCTCATGATCTTGAGTCTTTGACATCAGTATAAAGAAATTAAATAAAAGAAAGAAAACACAGCCATGATGGCACGACTAAAGCAACAGAAGTTAGATAAACATGAAAAAACAAGTGTGAGTCTGAAATATTTGGATACTTATTGAAACTAATAAAGACCACATGTAAGATTAAAACTTTGCTTATGAAAACTTTTTAAACCTGACAAAATGCATATGCCCCAAAACACAGCTAAAAAGTTTTAATAAACTAATTTTTTGATCTAACATGTGGTTTTTTATTACTTTCAATAACTTTTTGAATACTTTTCAGTGTCTTATAATAATATCTACAGTGGATTCTGAAATACAAGTTTCATTAAGTAAAACTAAACTTCCAAAAATATGTCTTTAAATGATTGTAAAGCACATAATAAGCTATTACAATGGTACTTGAAAATAGCTGTAAGGATGTACTTACATGACTGTCTGATCATCAACCAGAATATCACAACCATGAGCAGCACAGGATATAGTCTGAAAAATGTTTTAAAAATGTACTTTTCTAGCAGTAAAACAAACTTGCTGTAATTCTAATCTAGAATTATGTCAATGCCAAACTAATAATTTTGTTATTCCATACTGCATGAAAGAAAAAACCTGTAGATGTCAACCTAAACTCTGAACAAAAAAACTACTTAAAATTCTTTTTACAAAGTATTTTTATTTAAAACATTTGTTTGTCATAGATTTCTTTTGACACAGGATCTCTTCCTCAACCAGAGGTGCCTTGGTAGAGGGATTGGATGTATATAAAACAAAATCTGGAATTTATCCAATTTGGGTGAAACTTGTGCAAGGTGTAACATATGATGAGATATGATTATTATACTTTACAGTTTCCAAATCAGTCACATCATTAGCAGAAACCCCATAGTTAATGACAGTATTTCTTGTTGTGTAACTGACAGGTCCACTATGTGATCCTTTTTCTTCACCCAATTTTACACCTGTTCATCAGACCAAAGCCCAATAGTTCTTCAGCAGATAACTCCAAGCCTGGATACAATCACAAAGGACTTTTTGATATAACTTGTTATGGCAAATCCATCTATCAAGCCCAAAGATGTTATGGAAGCATTCAAAAATATATTTTGTGCTGACAAGGACAATAATAGTAGTAGTTTTCTTCAGGGAAAATCAAGAACAGTGTCTCTGACCTCAAACAGAAAATAAAGACTGCATAATTTGATTTTAGAATAATAATAAATAAACAAAAAAAGATAATCAGTATGTGTTACCATGGCTCATACCTAACTAAAAAAACATATTTTTTGTATGAATTGCATATTTGGATACAGCAGATTCCAGACTTTACAACAAGACATGTAACATATCAGAATGTCTTGTTCTTTGTCCTGCCATCCAAATATCTTACTCTGCCTCTAATTAAGGGATAGATCCCGTGTTAAAGCATTTTCGTTATTTATAGAAAAGTACGCAAGAACACACAAAAAAAATATTCCTTTAAAAATTCCCTAATCTTAGTTACTCAGTAGTTTTAGGTATATGGAGGCTTCTTATGTTCTAGGGAAAAAAAAGTACATTTAAAGGAATTTCCACGAAATTGATATCTGCAACCTAAGTTAATTCTTCATAATACAAAAGTAAAAATACTTTGAATGATTTACCTATCACTTATCTTATGTTTACTTAAAATATACAATTATAAATATTAGGTCTAGTCTTTTCTTTGATATAAACCACTTTATGCACAAAAAAAGTATTTATAATGCTAAAATAAAATAAGCATTGTAACTTGCATTTTATAAAATGATTTATAAAAAGAACAAGAGGGAATCCTCAATAGCCACGGCACTTGAAATTCTTTTAGGCAGAATTAAAGTAAATTATTCTTTGAGACCCTTTTTCTTTTTTATTAGCTATATTTTTGTGTGCCAGCAATACCAAGTGTGGGGCACGCATATACTCGATACGATTTTATTACTCATCCAGATCTCTCCCAACTTATCCTCAAATATAAATTATTTTAGGCAGGATTAAAGTAAACTAATGTATGAGACCTTGGGCATGGTCAAATATATTTATCAAAAGAGTTTCACCTCCTGAGTCTAAAACTGTAATTAGATCTCAAATTGGTCAATAGATGACGGAGCAACGAGCTAAAAGTTTGTACTTGAAAACTCAGAACCATTCTACAAGCCACTATGCCGCAGCTAAAAACAATATTTAAAAAAAGCAGAATTCAGATACAGCTGGGTGATACAATTGATCATCTATGAATAATGATTACACTGATTAGTGTAATGTAAACTAATCAATTAACTGAAATTTCAATTGAATCATTCATCATGAAAATTACAACCTAACTGAAATGAGTTGTTCTGATTATTACTATTTTTGATTATTCCAACAACCAATTAAGCAAAATAATGATTGGTTGTCACAAAAATAATCAAACTTTTGTCATTATGTTTATTTGTTGTTAAGCACAAAGCTATGTAATAGTGTAGGTAAGGGACAGGTTATTATCTGAGTATCTCAAGTTCAATTCCATTGTCACTGAGCCTGCTTGCTCTGTCTTTGTTATTGCAAGGCTACTAAGGATGTCTGCAACTGTTACTAATGTTGAACTACTGACTAGGGAAGGCAACTAGGTGGCAACACCCACCACCAACTCCCTGGCTACTTAAGTGTTAAATAATGTTCTAGGGGGGGGGGGGGTATAGACAGTCTAGCCTTCCTACATTGTTTTCCAGATATTAATGACTGTATTCTTTAATGTTGTGTAAGTATGCATGAATCTAGGGGAGGGGTCCAGAGGGCCTGAATGTCTATAACTTAATTTTTCAGAAATTAATAACTTTAACTTAATGTTGTATTAGTAGGTGCAGATCTAAGGGGGTCCAAATCAACCTCAATTTTTTTTTCAGAAATTAATAACAACAAGATATCATTACACTACACGTGATTAGGCTATCAATTAGCATAACAGTTTTCTGAAATCAACAGAGTTAGAGTCTATATCAATCCAGTTACAGACCCAATCAATAAATGGTCATTTCTAAGCTAATACAACAATATGAACATTAATTAAATGTTGCTATGGTAAATTTTCCTACCTTGATTTTTTCCCCAGACACACTAAACAATGTGTCTAGGATTTAGAGATTTGTTTTCATCAAAGTTAGTATTATTTAGGACACCTGCAGCTTTTATAATAGACTTATTAAAGAATTGATTTTTCATTATTTAGAAATTAGAATTCTTGTGTGAAAGAAATTTTTCATATTGTTGGTATCTAAAATAAGTGAAAATGTATGTGGTGTGACCAAATAAGTAAGGACTTTTTACAAACATTCTATACTTTTTTTTTCTAAGCATGATAAATAATTATACCTATAATTTTATTTAAAAAACTTAAAACATTTGTTTTAACCGTTTTATTTTCATATCAAACACAATATAGGTATAACTGTTGAAATCACTAGGTTATAGTCAGACTGAGCTAATCACTTACAGAACATATTAATGTTATTTTAACTGTGATTTATTTAGGTTACTCTAGGACTATGTGGTCAACACTGATTAATCCAAAATACTAAATTATTATAGTAAAAATGTCTTCTCTCATGTAAAAAATACTGAAAATTTAGTTACAATGTTACACAGCCAATTTTTAAAAAGTTAACTGGTATTATACTACCACTGTAAAAATGAAACATTATTGCAGCAAGTGTAGACAAGTTAAACATTGTTGTCACTTGTTCAAACAATAATATTACATTATCTGAAAACACTTTCTGGTAATAAGTGCCCTTATTCATTCCCTAATAGTTTTCAAACTATGTAAGATGTAGTTATAACTATCCAAAGTATTGTTTTACAAAATAATGTTATTCTTATTTTAATAAGACATTATATGCCTTCAGATAAAGCAAGTTTATACAGCTTAGAGACAGGTTAAATGGGTAACAAAGAAAACTTTATTACAAGTTTAACATAGTAACAAAAGCACAATGTCTGGAAAAGGTTCTGTCATCATTATCTACACATAGTTTATATATACAGATACAGGAAAATATGTAAGTCATGTAACTGGAGGTTACTTAAGGTTTAATAAAGGTATCTTGTTGAGGTTTGGTTCTTTGTTTAATATTACAGTGTTTTTACTTTTCAATAATATACTACGGTTTTCTTGAGTTATAACATTTTTAAATACGTGTATATTTTCATAATGTTCACCAAATAAAATAATCATCAAATCACATAAATTTAACTAAATTTACTATTTAGTGAATATGGTAAACAACTGCAAAATATTCTGTTGACTCGTATCTTTATTTCACATGATATATACATGTTTATCCTCTTCAAACAACATACATAAATAAACTGGATAACTGACTACTTAACTATTTATAATTGCAATAGTGATGCTTTAAATAAAAACATTATAAATGTAATTGATAAATGAGCCTACCAATTAATTGATTAGCAAATATCACAAACACCCCAGTTCTAATTTCAAGCATCCTAACACAGTAAATACAAAATGAATATATCTTACATTTACTTTTACAGAATCTTATTATTAACTACTATTATCTACTTGAATACTTGGAGAACTACAAAAAATCTCAGAAACAGATAAATCAAAATTAAATACACCTTATAACCATAATAATTTAGAAGGCAGACCTTACCTCATTAGGGATAAACCAGTAATGAACACAATTATAATGAATAGAAAGCAAACATTATTTTGAATATAGTTTAGTGCAATTTGAAAAAAAATTAACAAGTTACATCCAATTAGCTTATGTACACTTGCATTCATGGTGCCATAAATCTGAATATTCTGCATAAAACTTCTGAAGAAAATACTAAATATACTGCATCAGAATAGACTGGTTGGAAAAAAGTTTCAAATATAAAACATTTTATCAGCATTTTTTTCCAAAATGTTCTACAATTGCAAGTAGACAGGACTGCTGATATCAATTACTGAACTTCCAACCCTTCTTCCAAAAATATTTTACTGTATCTATCAGTCATGTTGTTCCTACTCCTATCTTTTTTATCCATAATATAACATAGTATAAATGATATATAACTGATACCAAATTGATATGAATAACTTCTCATTTCAGTTACAAAAGAGTAAAATTTGATATTAGTTACAAAATTGTTATTCAAATAAACAGAAGAATCATTTTCAAGTGTATCTTTATTTACTTGAACAACCCAACTAATGTTAATACCAAATTGGTCAATTTCATCCATTTAGTGTGTTATATAATTAGCTTGGATATTGGAAGTAAAATCTTGAAAATAATATGATTATAATGTGTTAACTCATCTAGATTATGAAATATATTCATTCACACTAAATAACAAAAATCATATCATGACTAACTAATATTTCATATATCAGAATCCAGAAGGGATAATGGTATTTATCACATAATCACATGTAAGTTTGATTTATATACAATATTCTTTCTTTATAATTATATATCATGAATACAGATGAATATGATTAAAAAAGAATTACTTATAACAGTAATTCTTGGGAGCATCATTACTTAATACTTGAGCTACATAAAAGAAAAATTAACATCACATTGGTTAATTTTACCATTATAATGTGGTATAAATAAATAAATATATATTTAGCTTTATGATTTTAAGCAAAATTTTGTCTATATAGTCACAATACTCATCAATGTAGATGAAGAATGTGATTACAGAAGAAAAAAGTGGCAAGAGACTATCACTGTACAGTGATATAAGGGTTCCCACATTTACAACAGAACATGTTAAAGAATAATTCCTAATCTTTTTCAAGATACTCTCATGAATTTCCAGACCAGCAAATTGTTAAATGAAATTCCCAATTTCAAGAATGCACGTGAATCCACTGTATGTTACTTAGTTTGAATATTTTTTTTAAAATCTGCAACTAGTTACATGACCCACAGAATACGACATAAAAATTTCTAAATAGTGGGTTACCTGTCCCATTCCTTCTTCCATGATTTTAGTCGTAAGGTACTGTGACCAACATTCAGAGCAGAATCGATGACCACATGCTAGTCCTGTCATCATCTACAAATAAAAATGCACAAAAGTCACATCATTTTACAAACTAACAACACTAGTAATGCTAATCAGCTACTAGGTATTGTAGAAATTGATTACATTAGGTGCTCAAAGTGCTCCTATAAAAAAAAAATTATGTAATAGAAGAAATTCTATTGTTTTTTAAGTAAATATCATAAAGTTTTTCATTATCTTGTATACTATATTGAAAAAAAATTTACATGTTAGTTCTTACTGACACGGAGAACCTTCCTAGTGAGTTTGTTCTCACACTGTTTTAATGTACTTGTATGTATTTTCACCAGGTCAATAGTTTTTTCAATAGTCAGGATTGATGTACAAGAAGCACGGTCCTGAGAGAGATGGCTCTTCAATGTGGTTTTGGATTCTGTTAGTTTGTTAACTGGTTCTACTTTGTTCTTGGTCCAACAGTATCCACAGGTTACAGATCTCTAATCCTAAGTCATTGTCACATAGAGAGGAAGGGTTCCAGTGGATAAATAAATGGGGACCACAGAAGGAAGTTATGCAGCCAATATAACATCTGAAATCTGCACGTATAAGACACAGAAGACTATCTGTATCCAAACAATATTAGAGTCAAACCTTATTCTAGTATACATGACATAAATTTGGGAAGTCTAAATATGGAAAAAAACACGACATGAAGATATGAAAACAAAAAATTATTCTGAACTTGAGGGGGTCAAGGCATGAGGTGTCCCCCCCAAATTTAATTGCACTAGAAATTTTGGTCAGCATAGACCCTAATATCTGGAGAAAAAAGGAAAACTAGGTATACCAAGGAAGAGGCCTAAGTGTGTCCCCATATTCAAGAAGGCTTATGACAATCTAGGGGTGTCAAGAGGTGGAAAATTGAGATTGCACAGTCAAGGAAGGAGGTGAGAAAAAACCCTACCCAAATCATCTTAATCTTGCTCAGATTCACCAGATAAAGAAATATCAGGTCTGAGCTTGAAAGAAACAGCCGACCACATGATAGTCCCCAAATCCTATTGAAAAACTGCGATCTTCACAGCTGAAAGTGTAAGGCATGTGGTCTGAGACACAGCAGGTTCAAATGTTGTAATATTCATCACTACTGAGATAGTGGTGGTGAAATAAAATTCAGAATTCATGTTCAACAGGAGTGAAGTTCAAATTAAGAAACTACAGTGAAATTATCACTGTATAAAATAAAGCAAGAAACAACTAAATTGTTAAATAAACTGCATGACTAAACAACTAAGTTGATTAACTCTCTCAACACGGGCTCAGTCAATTTGAACGACCAGGTGACCTCTTTTTATTCATTCAGTCTTTATAGATTTGATACTACTAACAAAATTCAGTGGTCTTTGAGTAAACATTGCAAGTCTTTCACATACAAATAATATATATATATTCTATGTGCAAGGTGATTTTCATGTTAAGATTAAAAATACTTTTCGTCACCTCAAAGATCTCAAATTTATAAAACCTCCTAAATACAATTTCAAAAGTTTGTTTTTTTCAGTAAAACTTTATTTTTGTCTACCCTAACTCTATACATGGTTGGTCAATTTGAAAGACCTTATAGCCCCTTCCCCCAAAAAAAACCTAAACTACCCTTTTATTTTTCTAGAATGACTTCAAATGTAACATGAAACTAAATTTGTTTATCCTAAGTAGCTTTAAACTCATAACAGTATACATATATTCATAATTAAATTTTATTGTTTTATTGCCCTTTGAACTGTGTAACTACTATTCATGCCATTATAAATTGTAAATCACTTGAGAAACATGAAGCTCACATTATGCTATCGAATTACTTTACCCATGAGCTACTTTGAGCTACTCGCGCGCATGTGTGTGTCTCGTGAAATAGGAGCACATGGGCATAACATATTCTGTTATCTCATGCAGATTTTGGGAGAGAGAGAGGGAGGGAGGTATTCCCTGAGGCAACACTGACAGATGGTAAATTACAATACCTCCAGTATATATTTTTCATTTTGAGTTGGATGTTTTTTGCTTTTTGTGGAAGCTGAGGTAAAAGAAATAATT